TTTTAACACACAAAAAATTTATCACGATATGAATTATATAAAGAATGATTTACACCTATAATACCTAAGTACAATATTATGCAATAGTTTCTTATACAAAATGAAGTAGGAAATATAATCGATGGTACCTAAATGGACTAGCAGGCGACCTTCGCAACTCACCCAGGACTGTCAGTGTACGTTTGACAGTCGAGGAGGGAGTGTGCTGGCCCGGCCGCGGCGTCCAGGGGCGCTTCATTACTTTACCAGTGTGTGTGTTGCGTTCGCGTGCAGGCTGCAACTTGCTCTAGAGTTGTGACACCAAGTGAGAAAACCTCGACCCAGCCGGCCTAGACAGTGAGGATTACACTGGAGTGACCCCCCAGCAGGACAACATCCACAACTTGTCCTGCAGGAAACATGGAAGGTAAGCCTTGTCCAGCACGGGTCATGGCATGCAAGGTTGGCTGTCTACTCAGGTGGCTGGCGTTGGTTCGACGTTGGTCTTTGATATTGTAACCGCGGGTAGTAGAGCTGTCCGCCTACGGTCAGGAAACCCTATATAGAGGAGGTGAACACTTGACTAAGGTGGGTACTGCGCCCAGTTACATAAGGACCATCTTGTAATTCTTGCTCTGCGTCACCGTAAGTTGCAGCGTCCTCGCTCTGCGTCACCGTAAGACGCAGTGGCATCGCTCTGCGTCACCGTAGCTTGCAGTGTCGCCACTCTGCGTCACTGTAGCTTGCAGTGTCTCCACTCTGCGTCACTGTAGCTTGCAGTGTCGCCACTCTGCGTCACTGTAGCTTGCAGTCTCGCCACTGCGTCACTGTAGCTTGCAGTGTCGCCACTCTGCGTCACTGTAGCTTGCAGTGTCCAGCGGGTGAGTGTAGGCATCTTGGTATTATGACTCGTGCGAGGTGAGAAAGTAGCTAGGCATCAGGGAACACACTCCTCCCCCGCAGTCATATAATGTGCACATTTGAGCCCGAGGGATTGACACAGGAGTACCAGTAGTATGACCTGATAGCCGTACGAGGTATTGACCTGAACGGAGCAGTGTGTCCTGGCGGAAGTATCGAGAGGGGAAGGCTGTCGTGTGTACCGTTATGGCCTATATATGTGTGTGTGTGTGTCCTTAGGCTAGCCTACCGGGAACACTGGTAGAGGTGAACTTAAGCAGGTTAAACATGTAGTCGTTATATATTACCCAAGAGCACTCGGAACTGTTATTGCAATTATGTTTTCAGATTTAAAGGTCGGTTGGTGCAGATGCTTGGGGGACTCTTGGCAATTTTGGAATGTTTTTTCAGCTGCTGACATTTATATATATAATGATGACACACGATGAAATAAATAAATATATATATATATATATATATATATATAATATTATTTATTTATTTATTTATTTATTTATTTATTTATTTATTTATTTATTTATTTATTTATTTATTTATTTATTTATTTATTTATTTATTATTTATTTATTTATTTATTTATTTATTTATTTATTTTTAGGATAGGCTTGACCGATCATTTTGAGTTTAATTCCTAAATTCAATTTTATAAGTATGTTGTTGAATGTAGATTATTTTTGTTGTAATGGTATTTAAGCTTGGGTGAGGAGGGGGGAGGTGAGTGTTCAAGGGAGAAGTTTTGATAGTGACATTGTTGTGTGTTGAGTAGCCTAACCTGGCGTGTGGCTGCACTCCTGGAGCATTGTGGTAGACTGGTCGGTGGTACACTGTGGTAGACTGACCGGCGGTACACTGTGGTAGACTGACCGGCGGTACACTGTGGTAGACTGACCGGCGGTACACTGTGGTAGACTGACCGGCGGTACACTGTGGTAGACTGACCGGCGGTACACTGTGGTAGACTGACCGGCGGTACACTGTGGTAGACTGACCGGCGGTACACTGTGGTAGACTGACCGGCGGTACACTGTGGTAGACTGACCGGCGGTACACTATGGTAGACTGACCGGCGGTACACTGTGGTAGACTGACCGGCGGTACACTGTGGTAGACTGACCGGCGGTACAAACAATAGGTCTCACCCCGGTACAGTAACATTACATATGATCCCGATACAATAAAATAGTTCGGCCTCAAATAAGTTGAGGCAGAACTATTTTGAGAGACGGGTGGACAGAGTAAACTGAAGGTGCCCTGTCCAACCCGTACTCTTAAAATAACGTCGCTTTTCACTCGTATGCGCGATATGGCCAAAAATGGACGTAATTTGAAATGAAATCGGCTCACGAAAGGTGATGTACTGTCCCGTTTTCTGTTTGGAGTCCTCTGGCTTACTCGGTTAGGTTAGGAGAGGAAACTTTCAATTAACGTTTTTTCATGACTTGAAATCTTAGGAGAGCTTCCTGCCGTCCTAACCTATCAGAGGATCTTTAACTTACTGTTTTGAGGGGAAAACGAATCCAAAATGTATTTTCAATTATTTTTCATTTTCAAATTACGTTAATTTTCGGCCATATAGGCAAACGGCTAAATTCCGACGCTATCGACCCGTCCACTGGAACTGAACATAGCATTTTTGACATAATCCCCTAGAGTCAGAAACTGATGTACTGAAGATAAATAGCTGCTCGCAAAATTGACGTGATGGTCCGTTTTCAACACGTTGGTCCTCTGTTAGGTTAGGTTCGGACAATTTAGGACATCAGTTTAGTGGCGTTGTGAACGCTGAAGATGACTGGCTACTTAAGGTCGTTCAGGTCGTTCCTTACCTGATTATAGCTGGTCGGTCTCCCTCCATCATTACCGTTGGCAGTGCAGCGCCATCCTCTTTTTAGGCCTACCCGTATGCGCCATCCTCTTTAGGCCTACGCGTATGCGCCATCCTCTTTAGGCCTACGCGTATGTGCCATCCTCTTTAGGCCTACCCGTATTCGCCATCCTCTTTAGGCCTACCCGTATGCACGTTAGGCTTCCTCCTTTCCCCCCGTCTGGTTCACAGACCTTCCCGTAAGCCTATCGTCCATTCCTGGTGGACCCGCGCGTTCTCTGCCACAAAGGACAGAACCCAACGTCCTAAACTAACCAGAATCGCGCGTACCCAAGCCACCCACCAGACCTAACCAACCGGTACATAGAAAATGTGGATTTGTTACCATAACACAGGTGGGTGGTGGTGTGGTTGGTAGGTGGGTGGGGGAAGCATTATCTGTACCCACTGACACAGCCTGACAGACAGCATGTGTCAAGTTGACAAATATAAAAACATCCAAAAATCTTTATTATTATTAACATCTTTATTGACAAAATTAATTACAATTTTGCCTAATCTGAGGATTTTGATAGTCTTATTAAATTGAGGATAATGCTAGTATTCACTGTCACGCAGGACAGAGGGTCATACATAAGACAATAGGTCTAAACTGTAGGCTGCAGCACATATATATCATGGTTACAATCAATGTTTTAATGTGTGGATATGTGAAAACAACTTTCTATTGTGCACTGCCACACAAGGGCAGGGATGGGTTCATAAGTGATGCAGCTTAGAATATAAGTAGAAATTGTTCTTCATTCTTTAAAATGGACAAGCAAATTTTGGGTAAACTGTTAGGATGTCGTCCAGAACACCTGAGTCAATAAAATAGTTACACAGTTGGTGGTACAATAGGCCAGGAGGTCTAAAGTCCTTTACGGTTTCACATTCATC